GTAGCGGTAGCGGTAGCGGTAGTGGTAGTGGTAGTGGTAGTAGTAGTAGTAGTAGTAGTAGTAGCAGCAGGAGTAGTGGTAGTAGTAGTAGAAGTAGTAGTAGTAGCAGCAGGAGTAGTAGTAGTAGCAGCAGGAGTAGGAGTAGTAGTAGTAGTAGTAGTAGTAGTAGTAGTAGTAGTAGTAGTAAAAACAAAAGACTCCAAGCCACGCCATGTGACGACGTGGTGAGGTTTGGCATGATGAGAGCGCACCGTGGCCAGAGGGTGTGACAAGGAGAGCACTGTGCATAGAGCGTAGAGGCTTTCCGTAAAGCAATTCGGAATCTTGGAGGCTTTCAGCTCACTCACGGAGCCACTTGCATGCTGCGCAATTTTGGTTCTGCGATGTGTGCCGACCTTCGTTAGTTGACAAGTTGCTGCTGCTACTGTAGTTCGGAACCTGTAGCTGGATCGTGTTGAATGTGTGACATGCTACCCTTGTCATCCATCAAGCATATGTAGGATGCTGCTGCGAGGAGGTGGCCCCCACGCCGTCCCGTTCGAGCAAATGTGACTCGATTGGTGACGATCTTGGGATTTGTATTGCCCTTCACACGGGTATCATTGGAGGCTGTAGTGTTGCCAGGCCATGATGCGCACGTTCCATACTGTCGCTACAAAGGTCGTCGTGTGTTTGTTTGTGTTTTTTTTGTTTTGTGTGTGTGTGTGCGTGTGCGTGTATTGTGTTGTCTCGCTTTAACATCCCTCCCTCTCAGTATCTATCTATCTATCTATCTATCTATCCATCTACTTATCCATCTACTTATCCATCTGTCTAGCTATATATCTATCGATCCATCTATTTATTTGTCTATCTATCTGTCTATCTATGACATGTATGTATGTGCATGTTTCCTGCAGGCACTGAAGGGATGTGTGGCACTCAGGTGCGGGAGCATTTGGCGAGATGGATGCTGTTTCACACCTGAGAGCCCCATCCGCCAGGGCTGGCCAGTTGGCATGCCGATATTCCCAGACTTCTGTCATCGGTCCTTCTCCGGAATGTTGCTCAGGAGAAATCTTGCAAGCTATGCGGGACCCCGTCAGAGGATCATTAGAGAAGGAATTTGACTCGATGAAACCATTCCGTCTGCAGCACAGGTCTCACCCTTTGCCAGTCCGTCATTTATCCAGCGCAGAAAACGGATCCGGTGTGAGCTTGCGGCATTAGACTTTCCGTTTATGAAGCCCTTGCCATTTCAGTACTGTCTTCGTTCGGCGTATCTCATTCGCACTTTTGAAGTGGAAGGATAGGGGGCTCAGAAACCATCGGTAGATGTCATGTTTATCCGTGGGTGCAACTGTCACCAGCAGAGGACACTCAGATGTGAATGATCTGGGCCACGCGAGGGTTTGCATCTTGATGACTTGATGCGACTGCCTCTTGCCGATGCAGTTCCACGATCAAATGCGGTAGCGGGGCAAGCGCATTAACTCTTGGATATTGAGTACCCGCTCCTGCCCTTGGCAAATTTACACGTTTCCAAATCTTCAGCTCGAGACTGGAAGACCTCAAGCGAACGCTCTGCCCTCGAACGGCAAGCCTCAGACCAGGTCTGTGCCGAAATAGACACAAGCACCCGGAAATTTGAATTTAGAAGAACTGCACGGCACGGAAAAACCTCCTCTGCCGGCTTTGATCCACCTTCTACCGGAGATCGTTCATCGATGAGACCATCTTTTGGTGTACCCTGCCAGCAAGCCACATTCAAGTGCGAGGGTACCGAACAGGCAAGCCATTCTTTTCAGCCCTAGCAATTCTCTATTGATCCATGTTTTTTTTTGGGGGGAGGGGGGGGGGGTGACTATATATAGATATATATACATATACACATATCTCATATACGTACAGACATACATACATACCTACCTACGTACGTACATACATACATACCTTGACATACGTATGAAGAGAGGCAGGGAGATGGACATAGAGATCTTTTCTATCTACTATCTATCTGTCTGTCTATCTAAGTCTACCTATTTCTCTGTGTTTCTGTATATATAGTCATATAGTTACACACACACACACACAAGGCTTTCTTGAGTGGCCCGCGTGAGGCCAGCGTGGCAGCTGCCCGACACCGATCAGCAATCGTAGCTGCCGTGCTCTCTGCGCTTGCAGTGGCTTGGATGATTTCTCAGTCACTCGGAGTCTCCCAGATATTGGAGTCATGCTGCCCCAACGTTTGGGTTGCCAGCTTCTCACATCTCAGCATGCGACTGGGAATGTGGGCTTGCTTTACACTTCATGTTGCCAGATGGTGGTTGGAGGGAGCGCTTGCATTTTCTGTTTCCATGTTTATGCAGTGGACTGCAGTGATATACAGTAGCCTAGGACATTCGACTCGCCGAAACAGAGGCAACAAAGGGCTTTAGCCACGTGCAACCTGACATTCCGTGTCAAGTCCCTGTATTCTACAAAAGTATAAGCTTGAGGTTCTTTCTCGTGAGAGCGCTCTGCGACGATGCTTGATCGAAGGCAGCTTGAACAACACATGGTGTCATCAGCTCAGAATGTGGCCAAGGTCCAAGCTGAAGGTCTAAACTCTAAAGGTTTGGGCAGGCTTTCGCATGTCGGCATGTCAATGGCGCCGTTTTGCAGATGTTCAGCAGGATTGACTAGAACAGTCGGTAAGTATCGCACCCTGCTTTGTCGACACGAAAGTTGTCAGGTGGTCTAGTCACTATAGACCCTGTCAAGTTGCACAAGCTAGCCAATACTCGTGCCAGTTATGTTCCTTCACCATGCCAGCTGCTGTGGCAGTCCAGGGATCATCCTCGGATTGCGTGGCACAGCGCCCATGGCCATGTTCATCGTGCATCCTGACAGCATATCATTCACTCACACGTTCCCGTGCTGGTTGCCACCTGCCACGAGCCAGCTGCGCCGCAGACAGGGCTTTTCATGAAGCTCGGCTGCTGTCTCCCGACAGGCCGAAAGTTCGCGTGGAAGCACGGGAACTGAAACCTAGGCTCCCAATCTCGCCGTCTACAGGCTGTCACTCTTGTTTCCGACTTGCCCCTCACGTCTTTCTGTGCAGTTCCCCTGCAGTGCTGCAGGGCGACCTAGTCAGCGAAGCGGGTGGGAAAAAAGGCAGGGACTCCACGCATCAACCTGATATCAGTTGGAGTTAAAGACTTGCTGCTAGTCGGCGACTGCAATTCGTGCACAACGACAACGAAGAGGGATGTGACGTGATGCCACGTAAGGATGACCGGGACACACAGGGAAGGCTGCGGAGCAGCAAACTGCAAAGCTAAGGTTCCGAAACATTTGGATGATGCTTGGAAGATTTCGAAGTGAGAGGTGCCGGTTTGAAAAAGCTTGCGACAAGAAGCGTGTGTGCCGATTTCTAGGCCAGAGAGTGTCAAGTCGTGGTCGTGGAGTCGCCCAGGAACATCAGCCCTCGCCACTTTCACCCGCGCATCCTTCTGAAGTATGGGCTGATCTCCTGGAGCTTAGCCGAGACCGCTCCTTGGCTCAGGCTTCAGTGCTGCCGCGGTACATTGGGTCTAAGTCCAATGCATAGATCCGAACGGTCCTGAACCACACATATTGGTTCAAAGAAACGAGACTCCGCCCCAGTACACCGCTGCAGGTGTTTTTCATCTACATCTGGAACCTTGGCAATACCGTCTCAGTATTGCTGTTGTTGTGGAGACCGCCCTGGTCTGGCTGCAGGAACGATTATGATTTGTTCATGCACCGCTCACCGAGGCAATGCACCCGCTTCCTGGACACGCAGACGACGCGCCGATGGCGCGCTGTAAACGTCCATAGCACAGACTCTTGCAGCAGTTGAAGTGGGTGAGTAGCTGTCAAAGCCCCGATTGACATCAAGCCGTTGCATCGCCGAGCCTAGCCCAGGAAGAGAAGCGGAGGGCTTCGATGGACCCTGGGGAAGGGCTGTCCATGGCAAGTTGCTGCCCCTTCTGCATCACTGCTGCAGATATGTCCTTCGTCACCAAAACTCGAGAGAGTGTCGCCGTTGCTTTCCTGCCGAAAACCATCTGGCGGCTCCGAGTACAGAGCGGCTTGACTTCTCTGCAGCTGCAGCCCCGAGCCTCTTGGTCTGCGCAGGAGCGGTATCTGCAGATGCTGGCGCAGGCATGAAGCGGTCTGGGCCGATGGATTATCCAAATGGTGTGCTGGTCAGAAATCAGATAAAAGCTGCATCTGAACGCGACCGGATAAGAAGGCTTATTTTGCAACATACTTTGTAAAGCGAGGAACATTTGTTCCGCAGGTCTGCCGCGGAGGTGGCAGCGGCAATGCGAGCAACGGAGATGCGCCAGCGCCCAACGCTTCCCTTCGCAGGGGACTGCTGGATCGAGCTGACAAGGCGGTTTGGTTCCGGTGCCCAGTTCGGATTTTCGACAGGATTTGTCAGGTCCAACCTCATGTTCTCTGTGACACGTGTTCCAACTGAGAAAGACTTGATCGAGTACGTTTCCTACAAGGTGGTGCCCCCGAGTTATAAGTAAGTTACAACATATGTTATCAAATTTATACGTGGTTTATAACATATGTTATTGGAGTTCTACATCCATTAACTTCTCTAACTGCTGGCAATAGGTATAACTCAGTTATGCCAGTTAGCTAACTTCGATAACTCCTACATGCTTTATTTCATGTATGGTGTTTTCGTGATTAAGTAATGGTATTACGCTGTTATATATAATTGTGTAAACGCTAGGAACCTAGAGCAAGCGACAGGGTTGCTCAAGCTTTTTTTAGGAATTGGAACAAGTTAAGAAAACACGGCACAGAGGCAGTGGAGGAAATTCAGGTTTGTTGCAAAGCAATATCGGGCGTGTTCGTGTACTTTCATGTTGAGTATATTTGCGTGTAGCATTTTGGTTACAACAAGTTTCATTGTTACACATGAGGTATCGGCTTTTCGTTTAAAGATTCATTATATCAAGCTGGGTTTTCTGATTCGGCGGCCATGCCACACTTAGACAGGGCAGTGCAAAGGACAACCTCTATAAGCCTTGGCTCGAAAGCTGGGGCCTGAATTACCAGAGAGTCTGGACACAGCCGACCCACAACAGGACCACAAGAGAAAAATAATCGGACCAAAAGCAACCCACAAGGGGACCACACGCGTACCACAAGCCGTTCCCCGAAATTCGTCCGAAAAGTGAGCTAGGTTTGGTTGATTGTTCTGTGGTTTAGGCGGGTCCAGGAGCGTTTCTAGACCCGACTTGTGCACTTGTTCCTACCGTTGGCTGGCTTTCAAGCCGCAAATCAGTCCCCAAAACTCGTCCGAACAATTAAGCAAATTGGGCGTGTCCAAGCTCGTCCGAACAATCAACTAAATTTGGTTGATTTTTCTGTGATAATTTGGGCGGGTCCAGGAGCGTTTTTTGGACCCGATTTGTGCACGTGTTCCTGCCATTTGCTCGCTTTCAAGCCGCCAAACTCGTCCGGAAAGTCAATTAAATTTTGCTGATTTTCCTGTGATAATTTTGGCGGGTCCAGGAGCGTTTTTCGGACCCGATTTGTGCACTTGTTCCTGCCGTTTGCTGGCTTTCAAGCCGCAACTCGGTCCCCAACTCGTCCGAAAAATCAATTAAATGTGGCTGATTTTTCTGTGGTAGTTTGCGATAACGGTAGGGACGAGTGCACAAACTGGGTCCAGAAAACGCTCCTGGACCCGCCCAAACTACCACAGAAAGATTCAACCAAACTAAGAGACAGTCACAGAAACAGGACCGGACCACAATAAAAACACAGCTACCGGACCACAACGGGACCACAAGGGAACTACGAAAAAAAACTCCGGACCACAAGGGACCCACAAAAAAACTACAAGGGTTTTTCTATAGCTATAGGCTTAATTCATTAGGATTTTGTTCAAAGTTTGGGTTGAGGCTTCTCTGAAAGGTTTCGAGCTTTCGAGTTTAGGGTTTCAGGTTTAGGGTTTAGGATCTAGGTTTCAGGGTTGCAAGACCCTCTTCGGTGCCATCTTCACAGCAGGACGAACGAAACACTTTTCCAGCTGAGAGCACAAGCGGCTGCGAAATGAAACCGCATCATGCTGCAACAATGAAATCAAAACATGCATATAGAATCGTGTATGTATATTTTATGCATGTGTATGTGAAAAACAGCAAAACCAGATGGAAACATAAGCCCATCTATAGATTTGCCTTAATTGTCTATTTTTTCACCTAACATGCCCTGTTTAGTTTTCATATATTTGTTCGAGCTAACTTCGATTTCTTCCCTAATTAACTTATAACTAAGATATATCTTCGATAACTAGCTTATAACTAGGGGGCACCACCCTGTAGGGAGAAAGTGAGGCTTCGAAAGATTTGCAGAGCATGTGTACTGGGGTCTGTCGAGGTGTGTCGTTGTCGGATACATGGCGGAAGCTCGCTTTTCTACTTGTGTTTCGTCTCCATTTTGTATGTTCATAGCTAACCAAATGACTCCGAGCCTGGACTGGAAGTGAGGACTTGAGTTTCATGTGATGATCTGAAGCGCGTGTTGGGTGCAATCTTGCGCATGAAGACAGGAACGGGTTGTCTCGTTGCTCTTTGTTGCAGCTGTCAACACTACCCGCCACTACCCCCCTACTATATAAATCTTTCCAGCCAAAACGGGGGTCAGCCCTGTCCCAGCCCACGTGACAGTTCAAGCTCCGGTGCAGGCGAATTCCAAAGCGAATGGTGCGATTGGGATCCGACCAAGGCATCAATCAACCTAAACTTGTTGCAGAACCTGGCACAAGAGTTGGGTGATACCATCTAAAGACAGTTGGCTCAGCTTGTCTGACATCGCGAAACAAACCACGAGGAAGCATACAATGCATCATCGAGTAGTAAAGTAATCTATTTCCGACATCTTGACATATTGCCTACAAGTCTTGGGCTGACGACGACGACAGGCCTGTCACGATCCTGGCAGGAGGGCGATTCTGCTAGCAACGGCGACGTCTTATGCAATTGGTGGTGGTCGTGTAGTAAAGCAGTTGTAGCAGCAGTACTGGTAGTCCTGGCAGCAGCAGTAGTAGCAGCAGTGCTAGTAGTAATAGTAGTAGTAGCAGCTAGTACTAGTAGTGGTGGTGGTAGTAGTAGTGGTAGTAGTAGTAGTAGTAGTAGTAGTAGTAGCAGTGGTAGTAGAAGGAGTAGGAGTAGTAGTAGTAGTAGTAGTAGTAGTAGTACCAGAAGCCGTAGTAGTAGATGCAGAGTCGTAGGCGGCGCTGGTCGCGTTCACGACGCGCATTATCTGGTGAATCAGGTGGCAACAGTACTGCTTTTTTCAGTAGGCTCACGGTATGGCATGACGGATGCTGGTCGAGTTCACCGAATGCTCCTCGAGTCAGGAACAGAACAGTCCAGAACAGACCAGAGACTAGTCTAGAACAAAGCCGCGCACACATCCTACATTAGTTATCATGTATCTTAACGCACTACCTCATTTGGCGATTCCGGTATCATCTATTTTAAACATGCACCCCCCCCTCCCCCGCATTTGGCGATTCCGGTTCATCGTATATCTTGAAGACGCCCTCACTTGGCGATTTCGATTCATCGTACTTCTTGAACACGCCCCCTCATTTGGCGATTCCGGTATCATCTATTCTAAACACACGCTCCCCGCCCCATTTGGCGATTCCGAATCATCGTAAATCTTAAACACGCCCCCTCACTTGGCGATTCCGGTATCATCTATAGTGTCTTATATACACACGCCACCCCTTTTGACGATTCCGGTTCATCATATATCTTAAACATGCCCCCCATCACATATCTTGAACATGCCCCCTCATTTGGCGATTCCGGTTCATCGTATATATCATAAACACGCCCCCTCACTTGGCGATTCACGCCCCCTCCTTTGGCGATATCGGTTCATCTTATGTCTTAAGTACGCCTCCTCACTTGGCGATTCCGGCAGCATCTATC